ACTTTGATTTCCAGTTATAGTTCAGATTTAGATATGACTGAGGCTTTGTAAAGAGGAAAATGGCTTGAGGAAAATGAAAGCTTCTCAAAATTAACTAATCTCCATACGCCAAAATGGCTACAAGGGGCTCTCAAATAAGGTTACACTTTAAAAGAACAATTACTTTAAGATAGAAGAAAGAACATCCCTAACTGAGAATTAAGAGTGACTTTGGTTGTCAGAACTTCTGATGCTGCACTAGCTACAGGAGCAATTAACACAGGATGACGATCGATCATACATTTGCCTACGAGCCTTCAGTTTTGATGCTGTGCTCCCCAAATTTCTCTCTGTTCTAAGAGGTTTAGGTCCGGTTGTTTTGTTCTGCTGCTTCCACACTGTCCATACTCGACTTTTCCCAGTCTGGGATAAGAGTTCAAGTTAAGTGATTATGGCTTATTCAGCCAAACTTAGGATGGTCTGAGTTTAAGGTAATCTTCGTTCTTTTGAAAACCACTTTTATTTTCAACATTTTGATCTTATCCTAAGGACACAAGTCATTAAAGAATCTTGAGTCGGGAAAGTAACATTATCTTGTTTGTTTGGTTTTTTAAGCTTTATTCTAACTACAATGTGGGGAATGGATTAGAAGTTAGAAATGGTAAGAGATGGAGGCAGAGAGACCAGTCAGATCATCATTGTACTAGTCCACCTGAGAGATGGTAGGGGACCAGAACTAAAGTAGAGTCAGCGGGTTTGAAGAGAAATGTATGAAGACCAAAGATTAAGGAGGTAGAAGCAACAAGGGACTTCCCAGGTGGCAGAATAGTAAAGAATACTTCTGCCAATGCAGGAGACACGAGTTCAATTCCTGGGTCGGGAAGATCCCCTGGAATAGGAAATGGCAACCCACTCTAGCATTCTTGCCTGGAAAATTCCATGGACAGAGGACCCTGGCAGGTTACAGTTTATGGGGGTGCAAAGAATTGGACATGACTGAGCAACTGAGCATGAGAGGCAAAAAGACTGAACAATGGCATAAAACTCAGATTTATAGATATCACTTAACTGCCTAACACTTGGCCGTTTTAATGGTCGTCTAAGAGGTGTTGAAAAATGGTTAAAGTCTTGATTTTTCAAAAAAATTGTTTAATTGTCAGATGAGCAGTAGCAAATACTTATTTTGTTGAGGAGAAATTTTCTAGCTTTCTTAACAGTAATAATAACATTTTCTTAAGTTAGGTCAATGAATTTAATAATCTTATAAAGCCCGATTCCTCTATTTCTAGTATATGAGGATGCTCACACAGTGAATATTTACTGAGTGCCTAGGTAACAGATTGTTCTTTATAAAACAAAGCAAAACAAAAACACAGAAGCAGCAGGAAACTGACAGAATTAAAAGAGAAAAGAAATATTTTCTATAATTTATTTGGAGCTATGAAAGTTACTGAAGTATAATACTTGCCTCGAACATTTCCCAACAGCTGAGATTAATTTTTATGCCTTAGCAAGATACTGCATGGTGGTGAAACATATAAGGTTCACTGATTTTGAATATTCTATTCAAAATATCTTGAAAGAAAAAAGACTGTGCAGTCAACTTTTGAACTAGTAGAATGAATGAAGCATAAAGGAGAATAAGCAAAAGAGATGCTTCGATATTGTATAAACATGGAATTCAATTTTCTTCCACAAAATATTCAACTTAATTTTAGGTGTTATTAATTAACCTTGCCTGTATTAATAAGTAGTTTTAAAAACTTTCCTGCTCTCAGAGAAGCTAGCTAGAAACAGTCTTAATTCTGAATTTAGAAATGTTTCCAGTTACATATATCCTTATGTCAATATATAGGACATGCAACTGAACATCTAGAATATCCTTATTAGTTGAGTAATATATAATAGGAATGATATGAATAACTTTTAGAGAAACATCTCATAGATATTATCCAATTGTGCTTTCATTCATTTGAATGTGATTATTTTGAAAAAGGTCTTAGTCCATAATGTCCAACCCTTTATGTTTATTTCCATTTGCACCATCCTTTAGAGTCTATCTTTTTTAGGAAGATTTTTTTTTTTTTTTTGGTATCTGCATTTTGTTTATGCTACACATGCCAAATAAATCTCCCAAGATGAAACTCTGAGCTCATTTGGAAGTAATTTTTGGTAGTACATGAATCAGAACTCTTATTTTCTTCTCAGCACTACTGGTATTTTATTGTTTCCATCTATAGTCCACTATGCTTTTAAGTGCCAAGAACCCTAAGGCCAAACACACAAAGCACTAAGAAAATGGGAACTTTTGGCAATGACAACTTTGGCCTCTCTTTCAGGGCTATTCCCTCCCCTGGGAGAGTAAAATCACTTTAAGTGCACTATGAAACAGGGCCATGATGAGCACAGATGATTGACTGAAGTTGGTGATGTTGATTTAGGAGTCTTCGGCTTATAGGTCAGGTGTAAAACCCTTAAACCTGCTTGTCAAAGTTAGCTTGTCAAAGTCCTGTGGATTTTTCCAGACTGCCTAAATGTCACTTTCTCTTTGACGGTTTCTCTGGGCAGCTCTGGCAGGGTTAGGCATCTCCTCTATTGTATTATTATAGCACCCTGATATATTCCTACAGCAACACTTATCAAACTATATTGCATTTGTCCATCTCCCTCCACTCCTGTATAGAAACTATTCTCTTCCTTTGATCTCTGGACTAGAGCTTTACCCAAATCAAGCTGGCTCTAAACAAGTAATAATTGAACGGATGGGCAAAGAATGACTAGTAATACTCTCCATCTGCACAGAATAGGTTATGATGTGTTCTCACATCGTGGTGAGGAAGACATGGAAGGAACTATCACCCATATTTTATAAATGAGGAAACCCCAGAGACATTATACGACTAATCCAACTTCAAAACGGCTAAAAAGTTGCATACCTACTTTTCATGCCAGTAAGTTGACACGGATTTGTAAATAGAAGAAGTAGTACTCAGTAGGACAGATAGCAATGGCTGACAAAAGATACAGTGTAGGAGTGGTTACCGGTTATGAAAGCTCCCAAATTCTTAGCAGGTTCTCAAGAAGGTAACTTCCATGCACACAAAACCGGACTTCAGGTATTTACAACGAGAAAGATTTGTGACAAATAAATCATTTCCCTGTACTCAAGCTACACCCACAGTGAAGCCAGGAGACAAAGAGACATACCCTGTTTATGTATGTAGTACAAATATCTCTCTCTAATTCCCACCATGAATCATAGACTCTGAAAAGAAAGAAGTTCTTAGAGATCAGTAGCGTAATTCTGTCATTTCCTAACTTACTTACTAGCTAACTAGCTAGAAACATAAATGACTTAACCTAACCACATAGCTTATTTGTGAGAGCACCAGGACATACAATTAGTTCTTCTTATCATTAATATCCTTAGCTTTTTAAAATTAAGTTATGATTGAGAGATAATATAAATATAGCTCTTAGGAAGTCTTCTAAGCAACTGGATAATAAGACTAAACATAGGCTGTCACAGAAGAACTGTCCTTAAATAAATGCTGCAACATGAGAAAAGTATAGCAAATTTTACTCAGTGTCCATGTATTGGGGAGATGAGGGGCACATAATATGACAAGCAGTGTTTTAGGATCCCATTCATGTTAAAACAAAATCCTTTTTCATAGAGATTGACAATATTAATTACATTTATTTATCTCTTTCTTCACCCACAGACATTGATGCTACCCAAACTATTATTTGATTTCTCTTTTCCGTGTGTCAATTGAAGTATATTTACTAGTCCCCAATCCTTTTAACCGATTTTTTATTCTTTTCAAAAATAATGCAAGTACTTATGAGTGTGTTCTTATGTTTATGTCGTATTTACAACTTCAAAGTTTTGAAAAAAAAAAACTCTATCAATAGAACACCTTTTACTACTAAAAAATAAAATATGCACGCCTATTAAGGGGCAAAGAACAAAGGCCAAACTAAGCTAATATTCTCAATAAAAAATAAGACAAATGATCATATTTATGAAAGTCTTTTGTTTAGTTTCTATCACCAAAGCTGGGGTGTGCTCTGGGTCACATGTCCTAAATCAGCAGATGAAAGCAAATGTTTTCTACAAGTATGTTTGTAGCTCATAGACTGTGTAAATGACACCAAAATCAAATTCTTTCATGAGGCCAACACCATCAACTAAAAGAGAGAGCCTTATTTAGCAAATAATTGCTTTGAGGATAGAAACATACCTCAAACTGCAATGAATTAGTTTGTTGACAGATCTTCCTGCTGGGCATATTTGCTAGAATTCCTTCTTTAAAAAATGGACTTGATCGATATCAACTATTAGGCACATCTTTATGTTAGGATCATAAAGATCACAGAGACTGTGCTTTACTATGCCTTCACTGAATGTAAAGCAGTATTTCTACAGCATTTATACAACAAAGCTTTTGCTTTCTTCTAGCATCGTAACTGGCACCCTGATGATCTACCGCCAATTAATGCTAATATTTACCATTACCCCCAACAGTTACAGTTTGAAGAAAGAGAGCCCACATTCCTAAAGAAACTTTAGGTATTTCAGGCCATTTATATCGTCCAATTTAGAATCAGTTTCTCATCTAGACTATGAAAGAAACTAGTTCATCAATCACAGCATTTTAATACATTGAGTAGAAAAGGATTTTAGATGTTAATTTTTAAGTTAGGTAAAATTATAATATTATGCTGTTTAAAGAATCAGGGTCATTTGACTACCAACTGATTCATTTTCTATAAAATTTCAGCAGGAAAATTCCCATGTGTGCCTAAAGTTGAAGATAATTCATTTAGGTTCCCATTATGCGGCAAGCCAGCCAAGAACTTTTATCCATGTCGCAGGTATAAAATATCTGTCAATTCCTGGTAAAGGGCTATAACATGAAATCAATGTTGTCAATAGGTAAATAAAATAAAATTCTTATGGAAGAAACCATTTAAAAATCAAAGCAACAAGCAAGACTTTAAGACGTATTACTCACCAGGAATAGAGTTCGAAAGTTGCTGAGATCACCAAAGAATTCTTCTATGCTCACAGTCTTAGAGTCAAAAATAAAGTATTCTCCAATATTCTCATAGAGCTTTACCATGTTGTTGTGCATGGTGAATAGTTTTTCATACTGGTCTCTGGCACTCTTTGTAAAGCTGTAGCTTTCTGTTAAGGAACATGATCCACATGGTACCTTAAAGGTAATCATTAGATGTTAAGATTGAATTATATCATCATTTCTGTAAATACTTCCACATTACTTTGCTAAGGTTACCATGACAAATTACCACAGACTGGGTAACTTAACTGAAATTCATTTTCTCATAGTTTAATAGGCTAGCAATCCAATATTAAGCTGTCAGCAAGTCTGCTTTCTTCTGTAACTTCTTTCCTTGGCTTGCAGATGACTGCCTTCTTGCTGTGTCCCTACCTGGTGGTCCCTCTGTCCTTGTTGTCTGTGTCCGAATCTCTTCTTAAGAGGATGCTAGTTATATTGTATTAGGGCCACCTTAAGGACCTCATTTAAACTTACTTACCTCTCCAAATGTCCTATCTCCAAATACAGTCACATTTGGAAGTTTTGAGGGTTAGGGCCTCAACATATGAATTTGGAGTGGGTGGAGCACAATGCAGCCCATAACAACTTGCTGTAGTCATTACATTGTTTAGTGAGCTTTGAAAATCTATAAATGAGGCAGAACTATTTAAGGTATAATCACGAACATGTTTGCTAAGTGAAAGCACAGAAGTACAAACATCAGAAAACTGCCTCATATCTTTTTATGAGCTAGATAAGGTAAAAGGAAATGGCAACAAAAACTTAGGGGGAAAGTATGTATTTTCTATGTTAAATATGCATTCTATATACGTAAAGAGGTTACAGTGAATTGTGTATATAGGTTATGTACCTGTATGTGTGTGTATATACATATACAAATATCCCATATGAGAAGGGGGAAGGAAAGGGAGAGAAAGATGGGAGGAGAGGAAGAACCATGAAGAGAAAGAGAGAAGAAGGGAGGGGAGAAAGGGGGAGAGAGACATTCTATTGTATCTCTAGAACCTTAATCACCCAAATGGCTTTTTAGAACCCAAAATGCTGTTTGTTAAGCCTGAGCCCAGGGCCCTGAGGATTAAAAGTCTAATGTTTCCAGATGTTGCTGCGACTGCCAGTAGTGTATAACCCAGTAGGATCATATGAGCCTTCCCATGACGGACCCCATCCCCATATTCTCTGCTTTAGCTCCTCTCTGAAGTACCTAGATAATAGTATCTGTTGCACATTTTCTAAGTTGTTTTACAAATGCTAAAATCCCCCCAAAATGGAAGATGTTTAACTACTTGATGATCTTGTGCACTTAGCCCCCAGGTCTACTGGAGCCTAAGGATTGGTGACATTAACCCTTGTGATACCACCCTGTTACTTAGCCATCAACCAACCAACAAATAGAATTGTACATGAACTGATCACAAACCTTGAGACACGCCCCCACCCCCCAAATCAGGCCTTTAAAAATGCTTTGCTAAAAAACCCTTCAGGGAGTTTGGGGGTGTTAAGCACAAGCCAACGAGACCCTTTCTCCTTGTCTGGTGCCTATAAATGCTACAGTGTCCTTCACCATAACCTGGTGTCAGTAGATTTGGCTTTACTGTGTGCAGGCAAGTGGACCCAAATTTGGTTCAATAATACCAGGACTATACTTACAGTAGTATACTCCAGAAGAGTATTTGTTTTAAAATTAATTACATCACTGCTTTAAAATTTTTTATCATAAAAGTCATAACAACAACCACTACTACCAAAGCATAAAAGGAACCAGATATGTAAATGGGTCCATCATCAAAAAAGCTAGAGAGTTCCAGAAAAACATCTATTTCTGCGTTACTGACTATGCCACAGCCTTTGACTGTGTGGATCACAAAAAACTGTCAAAAATTCTGCAAGAGATGGGAATACCAGACCACCTGATTTGAGAAACCTGTATNTGGGTGTTCATTGGAAGGACTGATGTTGAAGCTGAAACTCCAATATTTTGGCCACCTGATGCGAAGAGCTGACTTATTTGAATAGACTCTGATGTTGGGGAAGACTGAAGGCAGGAGGAGAAGGGGACGACAGAGGATGAGATGGTTGGATGGCATCACCGACTCAATGGACATGAGTTTGGGTAAATTCCGGGAGTTAGTGATGGACAGGGAGGCCTGGCATGCTGCGGTTCATGGGATCCCAATGAGTCAGACACGACTGAGCAACTGAACTGAACTGAAATGTATCTCATTATGTATATATTTATAGAAATAAATTATCAACTTTATTCCTGATTATAGAAGATATATATAAAATCACCTCTTTAGGTGACTTAAAAATATAAAAACATAACTAAACTAAAATTTCTAATAAATCAGTGTTGTGAACATTTTAAAGCATTTCCTTCTGGTCTTTCTTCTATGGCTGAAAGCCACTGAATGTTAATTGGTAAGGATGCTTCAGAGAAAGGTAAGTAGACTAACCACAAAGAATACAAAGGAAACCAAATATACCTTTCACAATTAAAGTTAAGTCTATTAAAAATCAATGATCATCACAGAAGCAAAATGTCTTAAAATGCAAAGGTATTAGACTGCGTGCTATGTGTGCTAAGTCGCTTCAGTTGTGTCCGACTCTTTGCAACCCCATGACTGTAGCCCACAAGGCTCCTCTGTCCATGGGATTCTCCAGGGAAGAATACTGGAGTGGGTTGCCATGCTCTCCTGCATGGAATGTTCCTGATCCAGGAATCAAACCCACATCTCTTACATCCTGTGTTGGCAGGCAGGTTCTTTACCACTAGTGCCACCTGGGAAGCCCATTACTATGATTTGTTAAAAAAGAATAACAGTACAGTTTTGGGTGTGCTATTTTAAGATCCACTACAGGGTCTGGCAAAGACCCTGTTGCTGGCAAAGACAGAAGGCAAGAGGAAAAGGAGACGACAGAGGATGAGATGGTTGGATGGCATCACCTACTCAATGAGCAAGCTCTGAGAGATGGTGAAGGACAGGGAAGCCTGCTGTGTTACAGTCCATGGGGTTGCAAAGAGTTGGACACAACTGAGCAACTGAACAACAACAACAACAGGGTCAGGAAGATCCCCTGCAGGAGGACATGGCAACCCACTCCAGTATTTTTGCTTAGAGAATCCCATGGACAGAGGAGCCTGGAGGGCTATAGATATGGTGACGCAAAGAGTCGGACACAACTGAAGCGACCTAGTATGCACACATTTATGCACACATGCACAGTGCATTCACATTTTGTGATAGTATTATTTTATCAGGTACTGATAACTGTCTTCTTGAAATGCTGGATTTTATAAAATTTTCTGAATTATTCAGTGTGTTTTATTACAACCTCGGGCCAAATTTATTTTCCATGGGAACAGAGCTCTAGTTTCACAATGGAAGTCAGTAGGGAAATCAGACTATTTCTGGAAAATTACTTTGCAGCTGACATTTATGGGATATAGCAGGATTTTAAAAGTGAGATGCCTCCCTTCCTAGGTTCCTTCTTATGCTACTTAAGTTTTAGCATTCATGTTAGCTACACTTCAACCTCTTCCTTGCTAAGGAGTCACATTAAATCTTTCAATCCTCAAGTCCATTTTGCTGTCAATAGACCTGGAAGAATTAATGTATTTCTGACTTACTCTACTTTCCTTTTTACCAACAGAAGGGTTGCATGTAATGCTACCTGATTTTCCCTCTGAGAATTTCATATTTGTTTGATTTTTAAGAGAGTGTTGAACATCCTGTTTGAGAGCTGCAGAAATAAGACAGTTCTCTTTCTTGCCACAGAATGAAAGTGAAATTTTTGTTCTCTAGTCTCTCTTGCCTAAATAAAACAGACTCATGCCAGACTTGCTAAGAACACACGCTTTGCAAAGGTCACTTACTTACATCCTATTTGCAGCAAGGTACTAAACCATGTGTACTTCAGAAGGTTCAACATCTGTACAACACAGAGAAAAAGCTAAAGATTTTTTAAAAAGGCAAAAAACTGTACATTTCCCATTTATCATAACACAATTTTCTGCCAGCTAAAATATGCCCATGTGGTGATACACAATTTCTCAAATTTGTTCTCCTAGAAGAAAAACTGATTTCAGAAATTCTGTCTGTATACCAAAGTGAGAAAATTTGAAAAATTCTGGGAAAGCTGTAGCTTAGAATTAATAACTGGAGAGCATCCCAATCTCCAAGTCCTTCACTTCTCTTCACAGTGATTACTTTGTGAAAGGAATGGAGGGCGTGAATCAGCACTGAAATTTTTCACAATCACAACCCTGTCACCAAATCCTACTTGGGATTCTGCAGATGAAAAAGAACTAGATACCATCATTTCTTTCCACTACTTTATTTTCAGTCATTTTTAAAATTTTCTTTTTTTGAGCAGCTACTAGATACAAGATACTGGTTAGTATTCTGCTAAGCACTGTGCTCCATACAATGATCATTAAAACCTAATCCAGACCCCAAAGCAGTTTATAATCTAACATTACAAACAATTCCATTTATTAATTTGCATTTGTACAACTCTTTGCTATTTACAATATACTATGTTTCATATCCTTCATATCACCTTATGAAAAAGGCAGAGAAATACCATTATTTCAATTTTTAGAGTTGTCAAAAGTAGATAAAATGCAACGGTAAACATAATAAATTACATTTCCCCTCCCCCCAAAAAAGGCACTCATCTATTCTAAGGTTAGAATGCAGTGAATGTGCCATAATGGCATAGATTATTTTGAGCTGATTGAGAAAGAGCAGACAGAGTAAAAGCTCTAAAAAGAGTAAAAGCTACCCTTTAGAAAGGGAAATTTCCATTTATAAAGGAAATCTCCACTGGTTAAGGATGTGTTCCTCTCTGAACCAGGAAGAGAAAGTGAAAGTGAAAGTCACTCAGCATGCCCAATGTTTGTGATGCCACAGACTATACAGTCCATGGAATTCTCCAGGCTAAAATACTGGAGTGGGTAGCCATTCCCTTCTCCACGGGATCATCCCAACCCAGGGACTGAACCCAGGTCTCCCGCATTGCAGGTGGATTCTTTACCAGCTGAGTGACCAGGAAGAGAAGGATGACTCTAAATCACCAGAAAATCAAGGCTTTCAAGAGTATCACTGAAGTTGCCTT